AGATATTCCTATTCAAAAATATAATGCAGCTCCGGGCCTTCATCTCTAACTAAAAAAAAGAAAAAGTTTTTTTGTGCGAACGATGACATGAAGCGCTTTCTAATGCCTCCGACTTGTTGAACTTTTTTAACTGCGTCCTACTGTAAGGGTGATATACTTATAAAGGTTCTGGGAGTATATAGATCGATGCGCTCTATTTACATGTTGCTATGGCAACATSACAGTTAAGTTAGACTAGAGGTACTATCACGATGTCCCATAATTTTCTTAGAAAACTCAACATCTCGTAATGGATTTCTTCGTTGAGAAACCATGAATGTTACTCACTGCTGTGCAATTCTCTAGCCAGCCGGGACGAACRGTGAACGAAAAGTGACCGAATGGTAAACGAAGGATGTACGAAAGGTGCACGTAGGTTATACGATTGTCGAATTGAGTATTTTCCATATAATATATCGTTGACCGGGGGAAAAATTTATACAAACTCGGTGAGGCGCATAACTTTTATCCACCATTCGTRCAAACGGAAAGAAMGCGAGATGAAACCACATCATTTGATGAATGATCTGTTCTTAGTAAACATCTTGACTTTCCTAGATCTACAAGCGATATTGAAAGAAAATAAAGAGGTTTTTCCCAAGCCATCGGACCTTCTCGGCTGCGCGACAGCGCTGCTACGCATACAGGAAGTGTACCATCTATCAGCTAARGATATCGCAGATGGACGTCTTACAAAKGACACYAAAGGGCCAAAATTAGGCGCAGACGCGGTACGTATTTGCAAGGTGCTTTATACATTAGCTATATAGATGGGCCTTCTCCGTAATGTACTTGTTCTCATGCTTGAAGGGCTGCAATAAAAGGCATAAATTTAGGCGCAGATGCTGTACGCAATTTACTAGGGGCTTTATACAATATATAAATCTTGCCCCTAGTACAATGTGCCTCTAAACAATCGATGAACTTTGTCCCTAATGTACCTGCTCTCGTGCTTACAAACTTTGGGCTGCACTAAAACGATAAATTAAGTCGCAGACGTGGTACGCAATGTACAAGGAGCTTTACACAGTAGATGAATTTTGTCCCTAGTACCCATGTTCCTTGAGATTAGTGCCGATAGCGCGTGCTTATGATGACTATTTGTTTATCGACACTGACCAAGAGGAACGTGGTCGCTTGGAAACAGATTGGCTAAAAACCGACTCCCCAACCCCAGGGAATATTATGGGGGRTTATTAACATTTCAGCATTGTTTAAGTCTCTGCATTTCCTGGCTCTTAGAGACGGCAAAAATGCCGGTTGTAAACAGATCATTTCCTTTGATGTAGACTTTCCTCCGCCATTCATTGACGCCGTGTTAATGTGTGAAATCCCCGGCCATTCCTAGGGGCTGGAGTGCCTGTGAATAAACATGATATTTGCRAATCTTATATTGCAGTGTTTTGAGCTCGGTTACATCATGCATGGACAGAAGSATTTTKWWCTTGCTCGTGATTGGTTGAAAGAGACCCTTGTGCGCATGAGCCCCGAGTATGGCTACGTGGGCGCTTTGGATAGACTGCGAGTACTGGAGTAYCTTGGTTGGGCTGAATATCAGGTATTTGGGACCCATAAATGGACAATTTGGATTAGCTTTGTATCATTTTATAATTATGCATTTTTAATTCATTTTTATYTTCATAGCTTGGTAATCTTGAAGAATCCATCAAACTCACAATAGAAATTTTGGAAAGAGGTTGGTGACTTTTTTGTTTGTGGGGAACTACGCATTTCAAACGCCGAATTCCACATGTGTCCTGATAGCGTTGTATTTACCGCATTTTGGGGCTTTATATCACAAAATGGCGATGTTACAGAATGCCTATTTCATAGATTTAAACACTAAATGATTTTAGATCCAAAGAACAAGAAGGCCGAGAAGGATCTCAAGTCCTATAAACAGCAACAACGATACCGCACAACATACAAGAACAACATCCAAGAAACAATTAAAGCAAATCATCGAGAAAGCCTGAAGGATGACGATCTTCTTGCATTTGAGAGACTGTGTCGTGGCGAGAAACTGAACGTGAGTTGTTGTTGTTGTT